TAAGCCGAATTTCCAAACTCAGAAACCTGCCTAACTACTCTTTTATAAAATGAAAGTGTCATGTCTGCAGGCTTTCACAATATCTAAAACAAAATAAACTCTAAATATTTCGGCTTTTTTCTTCTTCGTTTAACCAGTTAAATCTTCTGAAATAACACCGCCTCTCCATGCCTCATTGAACACTACTTATTTGGGCAGGTTATCCTTCTTATTAACTCAGTCAAATCGAATGTTGAGTGTTTCGCTCTCTTACTTGCCTATGGATGATATTTCTAAGATGGGGAATGTATTTCAACTTATGGGCCCCAGTGGCACTAAATGGTAGTGTCAATTTTCAGTCACAGTGTCTCAGATACGTGGATTTCCTGAAAATTGATGAAGCATCTTTTGACGAAGCTGCTCGTGTTCAACTTTTACCTTATAAATTAAGCCAGGCAGAACACGAAAATACTGTAATTTATCCTGCACAAACATGCAAGGGACCGAATTGAAAGAAACAGGTAAAACCCTCGGTGCAATCTTTGATGAACGATCCTCGTTGGGAAACATACACCATCACTGCCTAAAATAAATAATTAGAATAATCGTAAAGGTGAGTACATCAGTCAAAGGCCACACAGGTGATTGGGTCAAAATCCTGATTTGTTCTGTGGAATCCAGTCCTCGACCGAAAACTACGGTTAGTATACAAATTGAGAACTGACACAGAGATTACGTTGCAACAAGTTACTGATGCGTGTCAGCATCTAGTCAACTTAAAATACGATGACAATATGATTTAACGAGCAAGATATCTACCAGTTACCGACGGCAAAACAGTCCTCGCATTGTAGGTTTGGCATTTCGGTCGATTTTGCGCATACAGGTAACACAGGTGTAGAATCAGTGATGCGGTTGGTCAGAAAGAAATCGTATCATCTACCATCTGAACAAAAACCGTTTCATTCTGAAAAGCACCAGAAATCGCAGTTCATCAAACTTCATTTTTGCAAGGAGCTCACTCGATATCAAGTATCGACGAAACTATATTCGGATTCATTTTAACAAATAAAATGTGAAATTACAAGTCGAAACAGCATCTGATCTTCCCGTCATCTCACTCAGGACTCGGAACTTGCTGGTTGGATCAGTTTTCAGCAAGCTATCCATATTACTCGAGCGGCATCCAAGAAACACATACCAATTATCGATGAGTTCATATGCGAATTTTCATTCCGTGATCGTCGTTCTCTAGGTATTTGCCACATATCTAAGCCCGACTATTTGAATTTACTTAGAACTGATTAGGTATTCATTGATTCGAACTGAGCATCCTTCGGACTTCACCTTCACGCACAATCCTCAGTTCATCTATTCAACCATACACACGGAAGCACTAGACTAGAGTTTCTCTCTTATTGGAGCCCATCAGTAGTGCATGTCCACCGTCCCGTCCGGGATTTAAACTCCGGACCCAGTGCACGAGAGGCGTGTGCCTTACCACTGTGCCAACCAGCTCATACCGTGACTGAACCGAATTACCATTTCATGTTTGTTCAGGTGTCGTCCTCAGTGATCGTCAGTTCATTTGGCCCGACAGCAACGAATGTGCAGGTGAAGTCCGAAGGATAGTAAGTGCAAGTCAATCAACATCAAATATTCCACACTGCTATCCACAAGCAATTGTGAGTTTATTACGAACAGCCAATCGAATCTTGTGGGTCCGTTGACAAATCATCCTGTAACCTGTATGGAAATCCTGATCTGGTGAGAGGCTTTCGATCGAAGTTAACAGGTTGTCATCTACGTCTCCCTTCGTTGCTGTCGGGTCAAATGAACTGACTGACTATCACTGAAGACGACACCTGAACAAACATGAAATGTCAATTTGTTTTAAGTTTAAGACAGGAGATCATGTTTATGTAAGTAATTTCCAAATGGATTGCTGAGCTGGATTTCTGAAGAGATTACAAAACGGGATGGTTCGGTCACGTATAAAGTAAGAGTGGCACTTTTCGTATGGACCAGACATCCACCAACTCAGACCTAGGACCTGGCAACAAGACTAAGCAAAACACTGCTCTGATTTCATACCCATGGATTCACTGTCACTGACTCGAGTTCCAGTTCCAATACGCCAGCTGATCATTAACACCAATAATCAAACTTACGAGTCGTCAGTGGTGAGTTCGGTTTATCTTCTGAAAAGAAGGGGTGTCATGAGAGCTTACACCATGCCGCAGCTCATTCGCATCGGATGTCACGTAACCTGTCGGCCTCACTATCGACCTTACCAGTTAAGACAGGCCTTATGAATACTGATGTGTGTTTCACCGGTTGACCCAGTAAATCGTGTTGACATAATTACAGTCAGTCCGATTCTTTTCAGTGACTTGTATTCTCCTCAAACCATGAGCATACAGGTATAACAGACAGAGCAGAAGATTGTTCTTCCGAAAGAGCGTTTATTTGAGCAATATTTGCAATTCATGGGCTTCTCCAAAAACTGTGGTCAAGTCGGGCTCATTTGCTCACTGTTTTGAGGAGTGATTGTTGTATTCACATAAGGCTGTCTAAATGATAAAAGGTACTTTAAATAAAAAAGCGTTCTAATACATTCACCGCCAAACTGCCCAAATAATTATCCATGGTGGAGAAACCATTTCATGCCTCCCAAACCAGCAACAGATTGCATTTTTTCGAGCAAAAACGACTGAGGTGGAGACCTAAGTGCTTTGAAGAACATTGAGTACAGTTTCGTATAAACAAGTGGATCGGAACTCCATTCTGGATCGCCCCAAATGCATATCCAACTGAATGAACTACGAACAGAAAGTGAAGATTTGAATGTTAGGAAGGTTTGCCAAAACCTGCATCATCTATCATGGTCAAACATAATGCGGTTCCATGAATACTATAGGTTGGAGTAAAGTCGTGTTAATAACCAAAAAAAGTAATCGAGTAACTTAAAATAAACCATTTATTTTCATTTGATGGATTGTTGGTGTTCGTCCTAAAATGTACTTATAAAGAAGGCTTGGCCAACATATTGTTAATGATAAACCGATGAAATGCATTAACGTAAGAATCTGACGGTTATGAAAAATGCACGACGCTGATTTATATCGTCAAAACCATTCATTGTACGAATAACAAGACAAATTTTACCGACTGCGCATACGTGAAGGGGGACAAAGAGTTGTCGAGGAATTCCTACTCAGTCAATCCTTCTTTAATCATGAATCAACAGTGCTTTTTACTTTTCTCCATTCAACTCAACGACAGATACGGCTCTTAGTAAAGGCGGAGTCAAACTACCCCGGATTTCGTGATTGATTTTGCTAAAAATCCAGAGGATCGCAGCTCAATCCCACTAAACGGATGTAAAAATCATTCAATTTTCTAGCCAAATTCAACACAAATGAATTTGCCCAAATAGTAAAAAAAGTAATCCGGTTAGGTTAAAGTTCGCAATGAATTCGGTAGAGGTTTTACCAATGAAGATATTTGAATTCATTGCCCTTGATTTTGAGAGCAGTTTTAAAATAGTCTTGAAGATAATGAAGCTGCGTCATTTACAAAGTGAAGGAAGACACATCCCATTTTATTCCAAACCAAATATGGAAGTGCTCAACGAAAGGTCCCTAAACGCTTATCAAACATTTCACTTTCCAGAAGTGAACCGAAGAAACATCATTTCTGAATGATTTTTAGTTGCTGTCTGGAGGAATAAATTTAAGTGCATTATGAAGCTTTGGATGCTTTAGAGTTTTTATGCACACCGAATTTCAACTTTGAGGGTACAAGTAGAAATCGTAGGATTTTAGTGACAATTGTTGGATCTTAGATTTGCCCATCTGGATCGGCGACTCAAGGGGTATTCTATAGGAATAGTGCCTCTATGCTGGTAAACTGTCGTGGCTCTGGAATCATAATTCACCTTGTTCGGTTTCCATCATTTATCCAATTGTCACCCGCGGATTGAAAAAGCCGATGTTTGCATCAAGGTGCAAAAACAGTGAACCATTCGACGGGCGGGCCGAACCGGTGTGAGGGTGACTGATACCTGAAAATACCAAGATGATGCTGGGCCTTTTCCGGTAAGCAGAACTACTGGTTAATCCAATGACTGAGTAATAACTTTTGTAACTGATAGGGATCCGTGGACTTTCTCGACTTCATCCATATGTATGGGATCGTTCTTAGGACGCCAGCAGCAATGATAAACCAACACACAGCTGCCTCACAGTCCGCTTCAGACGGACTGAATTTCTGCACTTGAACAAGGCGGGGGCGATGTTGCTGGAGAACTCGGATGTACTAAACTGCGATGAAATCTCTGCTCACTTCTGCTTATTTTCACTCAGATGCATGCCAAGAGAACGAAAACCTAATGGTCAAAATTGATCCTCCTCAGAGGACGAACTGATTTACAAATGAACTGCTTTGGTTTAATTCTCCGTAGCTTTGCTTAAATCTGTTGTTGCCGGAAATTCATAGGTTTCCTTTTCACAATTTTATTATTTACTTCGGTTGCAACAAAAAACAGCACACATCATTACAGTCAACCAGCGACCAAGTATTTTGGAATACATTACTTGGTCTAACAAATTCAAAATGATGGAATAAAGTAAGTGCTCAGGGAGAGCTTTTTGATTTGCTGTTGTTATCAATAATGGTAGTCTTTTATCTTTTCTTTTTTAATCTTTTTCTTTTACTTCCTTTTATTGAATATGCAATGGTACAATTTTCAGGAAGGGGGAAACGGCCAATCAAAGGGCTGCCATGGGGAAAGTCGGGCGGTGGTGGTGGGATTCGAACACATCCCCGGGGTGATAATTTGGTGACGTTACCACCGGTCCAACCCCACCCGTCAATCAACGTGCATTATGTAGAAGACATAATAATACAAAATTGCTTCTAATGCTAACGGTAATCGGCTTTACTGTGGAGTGTTTTGAACGTTTAGATTTGGTTACAGCTTTTGAAAACATGGATATACGTGAATGCACATATACGTATCAGCCACAAGCTTCACGAATCGATTGGATCGCTATCTTGGTATCCACTCCGGAGGCGCAGATCTCTTGAATGGTGAATGTTTCGTATGCAACCTCAGGCACCTGTCACGAAATTAAAGAAAAGAAGACAGCATGACTACGGAAAAATACAGTATATTGTTTGGTGTAAAAATCTGGTTTATACTGAATGCATAAGAAATACCCCATCCTTTAACTATCACAAATTACCACATGCCTGCTTACCATATATACGCTTAGTAGAAGAATTAACACCGAGCCACAATGTAACAGTTACTTCCAAGGCACAAGTCAAAGCAGTGCCCGCTTGATTTTCACACATGATCGTATTCCAGATCAGCCTCAGTAACATAGTTCCGATGTGTGATCAATACTTGCTTTGTCTCTGTGTCAATTAATTTTTGGTCCACTTTGACAGCCACATTGGACAGTGTACTTGAATTCTCTTTGACAATCGTCTATCGCTCTTTTCAACGTATTCCGCTTCAAACGAACACGAATAAGAGTCCACGCAAAACTAGGTAGATCCACTAGGTAATTTGTCTTCAAGTTGTAACTGCAGCCGAGGCCAATGCAATGGAAACGAAACTTGGTGCGCAGTTTGGTTTATGGAGCCTTTCACATCTGCTCAGCCAAGAAGCTTCTTGATAAACTGCTTCTGATAAGCAACAGGTTAAGTGAAAACGGCTATCCAGAAAGCTCCGTCAAATAGCAGACTGGGACTGATTTTCAATTCTGGTGTTCCCTATGGAAAGAGTTTATGCAACGATTGATTTCAAAGAAAACATTTTAGCTGAAATGCTGACTCCTCGTCTATCCCATGCCTTTGTGGACATTACTTTGCTGCGAAGATCTGTCTATCCCAAAATGCGAAGCCCACACTGCAGATACAACTCAAAGACAAATGACCTGGTAAGCCTACCTCATTTTTCGTGGACTCTTATTCGTGGTCCTATGCAGCGGAATAAGTTGGGAGGACAGATAGGTGATAGTCAGAGAAAACTCAAGAACACTGTCCCACATGGCTACCAAAATGTGATTGGTGACGTACAAGCCCAGGTACTCGACACCGGCCACGAACTGACAAAAAATGGAGCATTCGAGTTCATCTGCTGGGTATGTTGGTATCAATCAAAAGAGATGAGACAGAACTCTAATCACAGTCGAAGCGATCGTGATCAAGATAAACTGTCAAATGTTGTGTTTACAGAAACAGTTTGTCAAGACTTGCTGCTTCCCTGGCTTAAGGTCAGTATGACTATGCAACAGATAGACCAGTTTGACCCATCGTTGACTGGTTTATCCGGACACAGTCCCCAACAACAATCACCACGATAACTGTACAGACCGAGAATTACTGAGAATTATCGCAATATGTTATGCCTACATTTTAGACTGTACACTTTAGTGGCCTGATGGGAAACACCGAAAATAGCAGAACTGTCTTCGCCAGTTCCAGACTTCCCTAACCATGGGTATATTGTGTGATCAACTGATGCGTAGAGGTTTATTATTTGGCTTGGCCTTCATTTTATTTACAAGTATGTACATAAACAACCTTATGGACTCCACAGTAAATTATAAAGTCGGCCAGAAAAAGAAACGCGTGTGGCTCTGGAGCGAAACAAAGTGGAAACGCTTCAATCCATAACTAGCAAGTTTGCTTGTGCCCATGCTTGCAATGAGTATGGTTGTCGTAAAGATCTCCGATATATTTTGCAAGATCGACTGAAAGATAATTTTCTGTATATGTACATATTTTGCTACTCAAAAGTTCATAGGTTCGAAAACATAGCTAGCTTCAGCGAGACCAAACTAGGTTGGACTTTCTGTATCCGACATCTAAGCTTCTGAGTTTCCCATGCCCTATGTACAACAAAACCGATCATCAGTATTGATTCGCGGTCATATGAGTGAGACGGAATTTTAAAAGGAGGCCGGTGAGGTCTGAGGACAAAACGTACCTCAGTCTACTGAAGGTGGTCATTAGCGAAGCTCCTTCTATCAGGGTTTCGTAACACAGTCAGAGTGACGAACGGGAAAACGTTTTATTCATTTGACTATGAAGTTTGTACAAGCCCAACCCTCAAATTACGTCAAAAGCAACAATTATGAACCATTTCCACAATTGTGAAACACAGATTAATTTATAAGAAGGACAGAAAACAAATACATAAATACAGCGCGATTTATATAGATTTCTTTGCAGCTCGCTTGTTAAATCTTTACTCAGTGTTAAACGACGGAAGGGCGGCGTGAGAAAATTTCCACATAACGAGAAACAGAAAATCGAAGTACGACCAACTGCCTTCTAAATGTCTCCTAGTGCCTTCCTATACCGATGTCGAATTTAAAATAATTTACCCAGATTCACATGAAACGTGAATGCCTTCTCAGGCTTTCATAAGGGACTAAATACCTGCGGAAATATTGAATCATTATATTGGTGAATTATTATAGATTTGTATAATACCTTTTATGAACTTTGTAACTGAAACATTACATAAGAACAGTTGCAGTGTACGTGGGGACACAGACGTACATGTTCAGTGTGAAATGAAGCGTGTTCGTTTCCTGGTTTTGGGAAGTATTACAAGTTTGCCCCTCAATCGGGAATAGATCATTCCGAGTCCATGAGTTTATATTTGCCCTTATTCAGATACCCCTTTTAGCCTAATGGAAACTGCGACAATGGAATTGAGGAATTGACTACTCCCACGTTTTTCAGTAGCCGGATTAAACACAATTTGCCGACAATTTGAACTCGATGGTTTAATCGAACTGGTTCTCAAAGTAACTCGATCCATATCCTGGACTTCGCTTATCTTTTTTATGTTCTTTATTTACATCGGAATGCACTGCTCGGCGTCTATGTTAACACAACCAACCTGTGTGGATAAAACCACTGCTGTTGTGAAACGATGCATCAACCTATTTTATGCCATTTTGGAGCACTGTGGAGAAACGTTCAGTATCAGGAGATTTGACCACAAGGATATCATTTTTTTGACTTACTTGATGCACTGAGAAGCATCGCAGCTCGAATTCCGCATACACAATTTCGAAGCATTCCAATTGTTTGATCTTCGAATCAGGCGGGACAAGCTCAGTTGTGTGAAGTTTCACTAGTCGATATACATCTTCCATAATTTCCGTCACGAGCTCCCCCAGCTGGAATATAAAACCTTTAAATATTGAGTTATATTGAGTAAACAAAACGAAATGGGCAAGGGGGATAGCCGAGACGGTGGGATTAAAATACGACCTGCTAGGCTGCTTATTGTGTAAACTTGAAGAATGGAATAATTGCTTCAAAAACAATCATATCGAGGTGAAAAGTAAGAGCAATTCTGTTTGTTGAAACACATGTCTCCAATAACGTAAAGCTTTGTACGGCAAAGACTTCAGAACTCTGAAAAATATGACTTGTAAACAGAAAAATGTGGTAATATTGGTCCAGTAGTTTTAGAACACAAAGTGTTTCGAATTACGCTTTCAAACTACCATAACTGAATGAACAGATTGCGCTGGACTCTTTAACATTGGTTACTTCAACGCGTTGAAATTTGATAGGCTAACGTACTTTGTTTTGCAGATTACATTAGGCGAACTTGTTTAACCTGTATATAGAAATCCCACGTATTTAACCGAGACTAATCTTGATTAGAAGTGCATCTTGATATAGATTCGAGCTGTTCTGTGTGTGTATCTCCCGTGCCAATTTACAAACTAATTGTGTCTAGGGACTCACTCCACTTGACTTCATGGAATCCCCAAAATTTATGTTACAATCGAGTCCAAACAAGTACGCAAATAAACCATGTAATGCTTATGCGTTTCAACAAAAACCAAACAGCTTTATGGTAGTCCTTCATATGATGNCAGAACATTGTGTCACAGACTTATGCCAGTAAACACTGCCATACTGGTTGCTACCGGAGAAAAATATATTCAGTTGCCAATCAGGTGAACAAATTGAAGAAAACTGTTGCAGCTATTCATTGAATTTTCTAATGTATTGAATTCAATCAACCATTTGTGAATGTATAATGATGGACAAAAATCAAAATAAGGAATCAACAAGAGCTACTCGAACCCTGTTTTCTCAGTGTGTAAAGTACAAGAGTAAATAAAACCAGGTATTTCACAACCAGTGCCTCCATTTAGAATTTATCTTCCTTTTCATTCACATCGGCCACAGTTCTCGTTATCTCGAACAAATACAATGTGTGATAGGCCAAACAAGGTGTTTTTCGATGAACTCATTAACAGATCATCACAATAACACACAGTGATTTGAGTTCGTCTATATCGGTTTTATTTCGTCAAACTAAGTACAGAAAGTAAGCTAAGTTTGTTTACCTGATCACCATTAGTGCGTCCCTTGGGGATTGTATTGCTGGGCTTCCTAATCCGAGGCCATAGGGAAGCCATAGCCCGAACAAACTGCTTTTGGTTGGGGTATCCAATGTTTGGTTAGCTGTGAACTCAGCTGTGCATAAACCGTAGTCGTTTTGGCAGAAATGACAGCATATGATAAACGGTACGGAAAGCTTGATCAACATTAACTGTGTCTCTAATAGATGCTGGCCCATAGCGCCTTTCGCCCATCCTGGTTTTACCGCGTCTTAACTAGCGAGGGTTGGTGTTCGTGTATCCTCTGTGATAACTGCCTCGTAGTTCGGCCGATGTCGCTCGCTCCACAGGAGCAAGTGAACGCGTAAAGGTGCATGGGTGTGACCTGAGGGGCAGTTCATTGTTGAGGTGGAAATGTATTCCTGAGAACATAGTGAAATGCATGCTCAGTTTAGCTATTGCAAACGTTCAACGCAGCGCTTGATTGATCCGTTGTGTAAGTCACTCAGCGGTGTCATCCCCTTTGGACGGTAGTTGCAAAAGAGTGCTTTTCTATGACCAGTGCGCATTACCGATCGCTCGGGTCTCTATGTTAGATGCTTACCTATGACGCTATCCGGTTAACCGTTCCCAAGCAGAAAGTTTGTGAATGTGTTCAAGTTTTTCTGCTCATAGCGAGGCATCGTACCATAATTTTTTTTTGTTTCAATGACACAAAGCGATTGAAATTCACGTATTGTCCCGTTCATGTTGATTTTATATATACATATTCCTCTCTGGGTGGTTCCGGCTGGGTTTCGGACCAGTAGGAGATCCAGAAATGAAATCCGATCACTATTCTACTTCGATTGTGAATTTGATTGAGTTGTGGCTTGCGTTGAAAGTTTCCGGCATAGACTCAGAGTTGGTTATTTGGTTTTATATAAAAAATATATCATCCACCTATAGGCAGAAGACACTGAATTTGTGTATAGTGTTTTGGGAGGTTGTGCTCTCGAGTTTCTTCCTGAATATGTCCACCAATAATGATCTCAGAGGAGATTCCATTACGATTCCGTCCATCTGTTGGTAGATTTCGATCACTGAACAGCAAGTGAACGCCAAAGGTGTACCAAGGCAGAATTTCTTTCCCACTTATAAGTGGTAATCCGATTTCCAATGGGTTGTTTGGCATGAATTCTCAAGGAAACTCCATAGCCTATAGAAAGGGGACTTTCGTGAATGGGGAAGTCACATATAGAGAGTGCATTGCTTGTGATGAGATTTTTGTTTTTGATCCGTTCGACGAATTCGAATGTGTCTTCCAGACTGTAAGTGAAGATTCGTTGTCTGATGGGGTCTATTAGTGGCGCTAACAAGCTGGTTATTGGCCTTACTGATAAGTCTGGTTTGTGCAATTTCGGGAGGCCACATAATCCTGGTATTATCGAGCCTTACGGTTTTAGTATATGAAAGGTTGTCACTGATATGGGGTTAACGTCTTTCGGGGATATCAAGCAATTGTTTATTTGCTGCTCTGTCAGTTCAGTTCTGTCTTCCCCCTCTGTTTCCTCTTGAAATTTACTCCCGTCTGCCGATGGCTTTCATTTTCTCTAGACACTCCTTCATAAGAAGAACCCCTACTATTTTATCTGATGTTTTGATAAGTAGTTCCGAATTCTGCTCTAGGTCTTTTCGTTTCTGCAGGTGTTTCGTTGTCAGGATAATTAGTTTTATCTGTTTCTGTGTGTAGTATAGTTGCGCAGTCTATTAGCGTACTTTGCCGATAATCCCGGTATTCACTGGAGATAGGTGTTAGATCCGTCTCGAACTGCAAGTTCACCGCCAATTTGTCTGTTGTCTGTCTTGGGAAGCGAAATTGTGGTCCGACTGATAATAAATCAGGCCTAAGTGAATCCAGGTTCATGTTTGAGACGTTATGCAGGGGGAGGGATCCGAAAAATGACCAACATATTTGGATTTAAACACAGCATGTGCAGTTAATAGCAGTTTGTTCAGGCTATAGCTTCGCTGTGGAATCGGGTAAGGAAACACAGGAATACACCCGCAGGGAATGCACTAATTCCCTAGTCGAGATGACGATCAGCTAAACAAACTTAGAACACTTTCTGTGCTTAGGTTGATGAGATAAAACCGATATAGACGAACCTCACCCAATTCACTGTGTATTATTGTGATAACCAGTTGATGCGTTCATCGAAAAATAGCTTGATTAGCCTATGTGAATTTGCTTTTCATGTGGTAACGGGTATTTTTCATTTACTGAGGCTGAACAAATAATCCTCTGAATGACCTTTTCTCCTATAACGGCAAACGTACCTATGGTAATGTGGGACGATCCATGGGGTTATTGTGGGACCGAACACTAACAGGGTAATGCCAGCTTACTTCCTGCCTTCATTTTCTTTCAAATTAATTATAAACTCCCCTCACCGGTTGATATTCTCTTGATCAATGGGCAGAGTTCGTTCCATTTGCCAAGTTCCAAGTGTAGTTGTAAAATACATGACTACAAACTGCATAGCAGAAAGCTGTAGAATATGTGCGCATTTAGGATTTGGTTACATTTTGAGAATCGAATTGGTTACCTGTATAGCCCGTCTTAGGCGGCGACTAGCCAGCTCTCGCCTCGTTTGCGAACTGGCATGCATTGACTGACGAATCACGGAAACCAAATGCGCTTTCTGAGCGGATTGTTTATCCCTCACGATCATGCGCAGATCGGAGATCGAGGGGTGTAACTTGGAATATAAAGCAGACGAATAGAAAAATGGCTGATTGCATTGCTTGCTGAAGTGGGGGAAATTTCAAACCCAGTCAATATAACTTGGGTTGGAATTCAATTCGTATTTCATCACGATCAAACAAATAGAGTGTGCCTTTGGAATCAGATAAATCTATTGCACAGTGAGAGCCAAGCCTACCAGATACCAATCACCCTACAATGATCTTGCGTCAACCGGTCGTCCCCACGGCTATAGGACAAATCTTTGTGACTGGTTCGCATCCCGTTCAAAATGTGTTGACATCCCGTCTAGTCTTGCACCTGATCGGTTAACCAAATCTGCTTTTCATAATCACTCGCGTGGCATTGCTTGTGGGCAAACCTATCCCTAAATACACATATATAAAGTATTTAGGTATTTTCTAATCTCCCACTATTCGATGGTGTAAGTATGTTGAGAGTATCTTTATAAAAGTTCGCAAGTTGTTCTTTCCCCACTTTCAGACGTAAACTGCTTGGTATCCATCAATGTTTGATACTTCATATTTGTCATCGTCTATATTGCATCAACTTTTTCGGGTTTGACAATTTAAACACTTCAAACTGCTTATCAGGTCTATTAGATTTTCTTCGGATTCAGTATGATTTACCTTAATGAACTTTTTATCTTCAATTTTTACAGGCACTACAATACGTGTGATAGGTTTTCCAAACGTCTTCCGTCTAATGCCGACAAATTGTTTACACAATGAAATCCACAGATCTGAGTCTAATTCCTGCACCTGGTCTCAGCCGGAACATTCACATTTTGAAACAGCATTATTTCCTAATCCGTGCGCATGCTAGTCAACAAATCCCTCATTACTGCTAACCTGGCATTCCTATTAGCTATGTACACCTGTCTGTACTGCATTATGTTTATTGTTTCCCTGCTTCATTTTCGTTCATTGGGGTGTATAAAGCATATTTTGATTTGTTCTGATTGCTACAAGTGGATTGGTCTTTTCCCTGTTAGGCGAACTGATATATTCGACACAAGTGGCATATTCTCGTCAGGAAGATCTCCCCAGAAGACATGACAAGGTCACTTTTAGAAGAATAACATGAGGTCAATTTTATTAAATTTATTTACCCACGCACATGACACGCAAAGCAATAGGTTTCCTCTAATTATGTAATTGAAACGAATTGAAGGCACAAGGTGCAAACGCATTCACAATACAAACATTCTGTGAGCGTCTCTTTCCCAAATGATCATCCTATATGCCTAACAAGACTAACACTAACTCGATTAAACTTTTTGAGCCATCAACTGATATATGGGTATGACTGGGCAGTGGTCAATATGGACTCCATTCAGTCACAACCAACCGCTGCGAACAAGCCCATTCAGCTCGCTAAAATGCCTTAGAAGGTCACAAACAGTGGTCATACCGTCCAGCGCACTTGTGTAACCATCACTACGTCCCCTGCACATTCCATCGTATTGTGGTTTCGAATCAGCGTAGACCTTTGAGGTTCACAACCATTTATCTGTTTATTTGTGAATAACTAATTAATTATACATCATCAAATTATTCCTGATTTTAGTTCCCCACCCAGCAACCGAATGCTTATTGGAAAACCCTATAAACCTTTATGTCATATCCGCAACCTTTTGGATTCTGCGATACGAAATTTTCACCGTTGGTTTTCGTCGCATATTTTCACTTTTACTCTGCTGTTCTCTTCTCGTCTGTCCGATCGTTTAGGGAAAACTGACCGCGCATTACCGATTCTCTATCGTTCATCCAAAACACCTTTTGAAGAACGTGGCTTTACAGCTTCATACAAGTGCGCGCAAGCATTTGAACGAATAAACATAAGAACACCGACCCCAACGCATGGAAGACGTGTGCGTTACCGCTGTGCCAACCAGCTCATACCATGACTGAACCGAATTGCCATTTCATGTTTGTTCAGGTGTCGTCTTCAGTGATAGTCAGTCAGTTCATTTGACCCGACAGCAACGAAGGGAGACGTAGATGACAACCTGTTAACTTCGATCGAAAGCCTCTCACCAGATCAGGATTTCCATACAGGTTACAGGATGATTTGTCAACGGACCCACAAGATTCGATTGGCTGTTCGTAATAAACTCACAATTGCTTGTGGATAGCAGTGTGGAATATTTGATGTTGATTGACTTGCACTTACTATCCTTCGGACTTCACCTGCACATTCGTTGCTGTCGGGCCAAATGAACTGACGATCACTGAGGACGACACCTGAACAAACATGAAATGGTAATTCGGTTCAGTCACGGTATGAGCTGGTTGGCACAGTGGTAACGCATACGCCTCCCATGCACTGGGTCCGAAGTTCATTTCCAGAACGGGACGGTGGATATGCACTACTGATGGGCTCCAATAAGAGAGA